TAATAGGGAAATCTTTAAAAATGTAAAAGTCAGAATATTTTCCTGATTATGAGTGTTGAATTGTTTTAATCTTTAGAGAGTGAAAATATTATATATAAATGAAACCTTATTTATTACCCTCAGTAAATTATTCCTAGCATGTTGCATTATGGAGGAACTGCAAGCTGCAACATTAGCTCAGGAATAGGTGACATAATAAAGCTGCTGTCATATTTCACTATTGAAAACAACCTTATCAAAATTAATTTGTCAGGGAAGAAGGCTTTATTCAAAAACTAGTCATGGATTATGCACAGTATAATTCACAGAATCACAGAAGAGTTAACAATGGAAGGGAACAGAGCAGGTCATCTAGTCCAACCTCCCTGCTCAAGCAGGAAGAATTGTGTCCACCAGGAGCCCAGGTCCTTCTCTGTAGAGCTGCTTCCCAGCAGGTCAGCCCCCAGCCTGTACTGGTGTGTGGGGTTATTCTACACCAGGTGCAGGACCCTGCACTTGCCTTTGTTGGATTTCAGACAGTTTCAGAGTGCCCATCTCTCCAACCTGTTGAGATCCCTCTGAAGGGGTGCACAGCCCTCTGGGGTATCGGCCACCCCTCCCAGCTTTGTGTCATCAGCAAACTTGCTGAGGAGGCTTCTGCCTCTTCATTCAAGTCATGGGTAAGTTAAGCAATACTGGGCCCAGTACTGAACCTTGGGGGACACCACTAGTGACAGGGTCCTGCTAGACCCTGTGCCATGGATTACGACCCTCTGGGATCTGCTGTTCAGCCACTTCTCAGTTCACCTCACTGTCCACTCATCCAGCCCACACTTCTTGAGTTTGTCTAAGAGGATTTTGTAAGAGACAGTGTTGAGAGCCTTGCTGAATTCGAGATAGGCAACATCCACTGCTCTCTCCTCAATGATCTAGGTAGTTGTTTCATCACAGAAGGTCATCAGGCTGGTCAAGCCTGATTTATTTTTAGTGAATCTATGCTGATTATTTCTGATCACCTTCTGGTCATCCATATGGATAGACATGGACTACAGAATAAGGCACTCCATCACCTTTCCAGGGATTGAGGTGAGGCTGACTGGCCAGTAGTTCCCTGGGCCCTCCTTCTTGCCCTTTTTTGAAGATCAAGGTGACATTTGATTTCTTCCAGTCCTCAGGCACCTTTCTGATCACCACGATCTTTCAAAGTTGATTGTGAGTGGCCTCGCTCTGGAATTTGCCAACTCTCTCAGTACTTGTGGATGCATCCCATGAAGGCCCATGGACTTGCAGGTGTCAAGTTTGCTTAGATGTTCTTTAACCCAACCCTCCTTAACCAAGGGAAAGTCTTCCTTCCAAGATCCCTTTACCCCACTCTCCTGGGTCAGAGATCCCTGAGGACTGGTTTGTTAGTGAAGACCAATGCAAAGAAGGCATTCAATAACTCCCTTTTCTGCATCTTCTGTTACCAGGGTCCCCCCTTCATTTAGTAATGGATGAACATTATCCTTTGTTTTCCTTTTGTTATTGATATATGTGAAGAAGCCCTTCTTGTCCTTGACATTGTTGGTCAGATTTAAGTCCGGATGGGCCTTGGCCTGCCTTGTCTCATTTCTACTTACTCTGACAACCTCTCTATATTCATATCAAGTGGTCTGATCATGCATCCAATTTACTGTGTGTTTCCTGCTTATGCTGGAGTAATGAGAGGAGTTCTTTATTCATCCATGCAGATCTCTCACTTTGCCCAATTTCTTGCTCATTGGCATGCATCATTATTATTGAGTCTGGAGGAAATGATCCTTGGATACCACCCAACTCTCTTGGACCCCTCTTCCCTTCAGGGCCTGTTCCCATGGGATTCTTCCAAGAAGATCCCTGAAGAGGCTAAAGTGAGCTCTCCTGAAGACCGTAGTTGTAATCTTACTTGCTGCCCTGCTCCCTCCTCAGCTGATACTGAACTGCACATTTTCATGGTCGCGACAGCTGAGGTTGCCCCCAGCATTCACATCTCCAAAAAGGAGATGTTATTACTAACGACATAATAGCAACATTTGAAAAGCATTTAGTAGTATGTATGATTGTGGAAAAACAAAACACTGGTGATTCCGATGAAATTCCCCATTTTGAGACATCAATCTGTAAGAATTACATTGCTAAGGCACAAGCATGACCCCTTCAAAGGGAAGACAAGGTAAAAGAAATGATCTATTAAAAAAAAAAAAAGAAAAAAATACTCTCCAAATGAACTTGTTCTGAATTACAAGAGGCAGATGGCAATGATATTTATACACAGATGACTTCCAGACATCTATGAGCTTAAGTCTGCTGACTTCTAAGCATGCTGTAAATTCAGAACTTTGCAATTTAATTTCTAAAGGTAAAAACAAACAAGCAAGCCCCAGCTTAATATTGAATAAAATATACTTTTGTTCTTTTCTTGAGGCTTTTTTTTTCTAACAAAACAGTGGTATTTCCTAGGTCATGGCACTGAAAAACTTCGTATTTGTCCAATCCAACTAATCATATTAAAATGGACAACTATTATATGCATGTCTGGAGAGACCTGTCCATCTACAAAACAAAAAAACAAACAAAAAATCCACAAAACCCAAAACAAACAAACAAACAAAACAAAAATCAAACCAACCCAAAAATCAGTAATCAAGTTCTTTAGTGTTGAGAAACATTAATTCTTACACATATACCCCCAAAATCTGAAAACTATACACCACTTGTTCATGTCAGGATTCTCTTATTTAGATTTAATGACCATTGGTAAGGCACAATAAGACATTTATCAGAGGAAATCTTTAAGGATGAGTGTTTAATCAAAGAGAGTCTCCATGTGACAAAGAGCTCAGAAGCTCATTAGTGGGTAATCACCTTTAGCAACCTTCTGCAGAATTCTGTGTTGGATAATTGCATTAGGCAAAATTACGAGAGATTCATTAGCATGGAATCACAAGGGTCTGTGTTAAATGTAAAGTTGGATGTTTCTGATATCAAACATAGACTCATAGAAGGAACTATTGAAAATAATTAGGTATTTTTCTTTCTTTTCTTTTTTTTTTTAATTGAACATAGACCAAAAATACCTTAACAGTAATTTGGTGAATTAAGCCTTTAAGCCATTATGTTAAGACTGAAATCAAGAATCTATCACATTCTTAGGTTCTATTTCAGTAATTCGTATTCACTACTATTAAAGTGTGTACCTTGGGGTTTTTTATTCTTTATTCATCAAGCTTTTACCCCTTAAACTCTTCACTGCTATTGATTAGAGAACTGTCTTCTCAAAAATATGTTTGCCTTCTGTAGGAGTTTCTGCAGTAAATCAAGCCATCTCTTCATTTTCTTTCCCATACACTGAAAAGTAAGAGTTCCTTCAGTCTACAGACAAAATGACAATTTTTAAATCTATCAGAATTTTTTTCCTCTTTTTTTGAATAATTTCCAATTTGTTAACTCTATTGTGCCTGAAAAAGTGACGCTGTTCAGATAATGACCTCTCTAATTATGAGTAAAAAAAATATGTTTTTCATATTCTTATGTAGTAGTCTTTTGCTTAGCCCTGCTTTAACAGGGCAACTTTAGGAGTTTATTATTCCAGTTAAAATATACACTGTATATTTTCATGTCCCCTTGGAAAAAAACCCCAAAATATATCAAAAGATCTACTAAAAAGTATTGTATCAGAAGAAAACTGTAACATTGTGACTGTGATGACTGACTGGTGAGAGGAAGCATCAAGTTCCAGTCTCTCATATTCCTCATTTATTACTGCAATTTTCTATGCCAATTCATTTCAAAATTGGCAGATCTAGAATTTGAAAAATGGTCTGCAGTGAAGCCTGTTAGACTTCTACTTTGTTACAAATGTAAGTTTTTTTGCAAGTTAACATGTTCTCATAAAATCTTTTGTATTATCATCTCCAGAAACAAAATTTGGCTTTATGCCTCGATTGTCTATCTTTTTCATTATCAGCTAGCATTTTTCTGGGAATCAGGAGGGGAAGATTCAGAAGTTATAATTTTAATGGAAAATAGTATTATTAAAAATAAGTTTGTAATTTCTTCAAGATCATGGATAAACATATTAAATAACTCTAAGCCAAAAATAGGAAATGATAGCAGGGAATTTCCAATGATACACATTTCTCATATTACTCTTTTATGGTACTGGGCAACCATATTTAACCAAACTGAATTTATCAGAATGGTAATTTCAGTTGGAATGTTTTTATAGCCTCTGCAAGATCGTATCAATGTTTTTAAACAAATATAAATGTTGCATTCTGTAAAATTAACCTGAGAATCTAGAAACTGGTCTTAAGCTTGCCTGACATAAATGTTTCATCAAAATACTATCTTTATTGTATTTGGTTGAGTATAGTAGTGTTAATGTCTCCATTTTATCAGCATGGCTCCTTTTGTTACTCTGTAAACATTATTTCTATCTAATAGTCTCAGAAAATAAGATTTACCCATAAAACAGGATTCCCTACTACTGCTATATTTCTAATATGAGCAATGAAAAAGGATTTGACCCATATTTGTTAGAATACAAGGGATATCCTGTATAGAAATCTTAAGATAATCAAACCTGACTGACAATGAGGCAAGACCCTGTAGTTCAATTGTTCTGGCAGGTTCAAATTTCTGTTTGTTCAATATCCAATTTACTGCTAGACAAAACGTCAGTCCCTAGGAAGTACTAATAAATCCCTAATTGACATTCTCACAGTTGTAAATATGTTGTACACATTTATATTCTACTTATTACTACGTTTCTAGTTCTTATTACATAGTGTACCTTTAAATAGATGATAAATATAATTTTCATAGAATATTGACCTAAAAATTAGTAGGTATATATGCTGAGATACATCATATGTGTGAGCAAGAGATCAAAATATGCAAGAGGGCTTTTCTTTAATCATAGATTAAAAGTTAATACAGACATTAAAATTTGTTCATACTAATGTATATTTTCAAGAACTTTGCTGTAGGATTTCTCTTACCTCTACAGATAGGAACAGGGAAATCCCACGATGCTGTATTCACAGAGTTAGCTATGCAAGTAAGCTGGGGGTGTCCATCCAAAATATATCCAGTTACACAGCTGTATCGGATTTTGTCACCAACATCAAATCTTGTACCGTACAAGATACCCTTTGGTGGAACTCCTGGATTGCCACAGGAACTACTCTGTAATTCTGGAGCAGATATATATTTATTACTTACAATGTTTTTGTAAATCAATGCTTCATTTTGCTTGAGAATATAGAACACATAAATTAAGACAGTTTTGGACAGACAGAGTGTTTTCATGGATATTATACAACTCTTAACACTGAAAATTCATTACTGACTTAGTCTATTTAATATCTGCTTATGAACCAACATATGCAAAAGTAGATGAAAATGAGCATGAGGTTTTCCTTAATCTCCATCTATAGATATATTCATATGTTTCTTTGTTAAATTGACAGCAAGGAATTCATTACATAGGAACAGGAAGCAAAGGAACTTGATGTATACAAATGTAAAACAATAAACAAAACTGTATTACAGTCATGAAAGAACATTAGATTCAAATTGAACAAAATTTGCACGAAAAAAAGTAGTCAAGACAAGAGAAAATTTTAATAAGCATAAGCCTGAGCATGATCAGGAATCTGTTTAATGATTTAATAGTTTTTAGATAATGAGGCAAAAGTGATGAGATACTGTGGGTAACTGATTTCTGAGCAAAAGATTAGTTTATTTAACCATGTAAAATACCACAGGTCTGGTGACTTCTACTCTAAGGCACAGCTTTAAACCACTGAGAATCCAAAATGACTCATGGCTGCTGTTAGTCTTATCTCTGAGGGCATTAATTAGAGTTCAGTTTTACTAGTTGGTACTCATACACCAACTGTGTACTCTTCTGACTGATGTCTCAGCATCATAAATAGCGTGATTACATTTTCAGTCATTTACTTCTGAAGTCCTTTGATTAATGGACATTAAAAGATAGATTTTGTGCAAGTGTGAGCAAAAGATATTTCACACTCTCATCCTGAGCTCTTCAAAGCTCTTACCAGGCTAATGCTAATATGGAAGAGACAAATCATGTAAACCTGTATTTGAATTCATACTAAATTTCCCTAATCTACAAAGTAAGGAAAAAGACAGAAAGGTATGTATGTATTGTTTCAATTTCTTTTCCTGAGTTCCATGTGACTAAATTATTCTTCAGCACCCCTGATGTGCTCAGGAGTGTGTGCACAACATCACATGTAACAATTCTCAAAAGGCATAATCCAACATAGTTATAAATATATATCTCTATACATCCATATATACATACACTATGAATAAAATATATGATCCCAATGAGTTCATCTGCAAGATTTGAGGTACCAATCAGATTTTGATGTGAATATGTTAAATATGCATATTAGTTGCTGATGTCATTGTTGCCATTTCTTGCTTTCTCTTACATAATAAACTCTGTGGTTCTGGATTTGACTTTCATTGCCTTGCACAATGACACAACACAGAAGTAAGAAAGTGGCCTCTCTCATCTTGGTCACTTCAAAGCTCACCTAAAGAGTTGATATTCTCACCACTGCTTTATCAAAGTGTTCTGTGCTGAAGCAACACTCTCTTGTCCTCAAATGTGCTTCCAAGCCCTACAAAGAAGGCAATGCTGCAGCTATTCCCGCATACTCGTGCAAACGGATTTCTTTTAAATCCTTTAACTGTTTTCAAGGCCATTCGATTTATTATTTATTATCATAGTATGTCAAAATAGAGGTAAGAATATCATCCTATGGATTTTGGTTATCACATGAATCATATATTAACTTGAAAACTCTGCCTGTACACAGTGTTTTCATTTTCCACTTCTCCAAGAAGATGAAGTTTTTCAGAATCCTGTATCTCTCAGGGCTTTGTAAAAAGGTCACAGAAAGATGTTCTGTCCTTTGAAATAAAAAACATAAAGATTACCAATGTCTTTAACTGTTACTGCCTAAAATTGCTTCCTTTACTCTTACTGCTGTCTCACCAAGAATTACCCACAGAAGGCAATTTATTCTTGCGAAATTATATTATATTTTAAAGCACTAATTAAAAATCACCCTCCTTCTAAAATAAAACTAATTTTCCAGTTGCAATACTTTATGACTCATCTAAAAGGAATACTTGGCATTTTTCATTAACTTTTTAACATTATGAAACTGGGTAGGGAGTAAGTTACTACTTCTAACCCTTCAAGCCATTTTGTTCCTGATTCTAGATAATAAAGTAGAAAATAAGTTTTACACTTTTAAGTGCATTAGTTTATTCTGTGAGTATTTTCATTTTGAACATATACAAGTGCACTACTGGGGGGGTGGGGAGGGAGGGAGGAGATAATTCACTAAGTAACTGCATTTGTGTTCTTTGATAGGCAGTATCTATATTCAAACTGCATGAGACACTGTACTACCAACTCTGTTCCATTTAAAGCTGCAGATTTGTTACTCTGAGATAGTCATCTGTCAGGTAACACAGGAATTGCCAAACTAGACTGTAATTTTTATTCAGCTCTGCACAGATTCTTGACTTCAGTGATATTCTGACAATCACTAATGATAAGAAGGCTGGAAAAGTACTTCCTTTTAAATTTGCCACATTGTAATTTGGTTGAACTTCTGGTTCATGTACTCTGAAAACAAGCGTAATTGAATTTTTTACACTACCCTACTTTTTTGCATTTTTATTCTGTATTATTTCTCTTGTCTTTTTTTAAAGCAAGTTGTCCCAGTTGTTTCAATCTCTTTCCAAGTAGGAATTTTCTTTGTCCTAGATTTAATTTTGTAAACAAGATATGTATGAACCTATTTGTCCTCTTTTTTTCCATAATCATAAACCACCAAGATTAGAATATGCTTCAATGCTGTTCAATAAGTTTCTATTACATTAATGCTTATTATTGTAAATAGAAATCCTGTTAAAAAACTGTGGGTAAATATATTTCAGAGAGTTCTGCTTAGTAGGAATGGACTAAGACTTTAGAGTCTTTCTGCCACTTATAAATACTAACTAATAACTTATTCAAAATAAATCACATTAAACACAAGTTCTGAAAATTCTTCCAAAAACAAGGCTGACAGAAGTTTAGACTCTCTTTGTCAGCATTCAGTCAAGGAGAAACAAATCAGGACCAGATATACAAATTTCAAATTTACTTTCTTTTTACTCAAATTTTAAGTCAGGAATAGTTTTTTTCTATTATGATATTTATGATATCAAGAGTAGCACTTGTCCTCCCTAAACTGTCTAAACATGAAATTTGTCATTTCATGTCTAAATATCCAAACCAATTATTTTCTAATATTCCAGTAAAAAAAGCATTTGTCGTATCATTGCATTCCATTCAGCTTAATGCTGAAGACTAATGTTCTTCACACACTAAATATGATATTAGAAATTTAGGAACATAAATAATTTCGACTTTTTTAAAGGGTTGATCCATATATTTTCAGATTTTTTTCACAGCTATTGCAAGTCACTATAATCCCATTTTTTCCAACATAAAGTGAAAAATATTGTCAATACGCACATCTTCACGAGTACTCACTCATCGAAAGACCTCTGTAATATCCCAATAGAGGCTAATATTTGCTTCCTTTAGTAGTTTTGTAATTAAATATTTCTGGTATCCCCACACTCTCAGTTTGGATATCTCCCTCTATTACTGCATGGTACCTGTCTCAGACCGCTTGTCTGTACACAGATGAAAAGTGACGCCTGTGTACTTCATCTTATTGCCAAGCAAGAATGCTCTGGTATTGAAGACTCAAGACTGATTTCAGAAGTGCTGCATGTAGCATGTGTGTGGCAATAGGGAGGGCTACACATTCCAAGGGTCCCAAATATTAGGACAGATGACGCATTTGTAACAACATGAAGTTGCCAGAAATTCCATTGTCCAAAATTCATCTATATTGAATCTTATAATGGTTTATTTTAGTTGCACATAGTTTTCCAAAGGTTTTATAAACTAAAACAGTAACTTAGATACATAGCTTCTACCTCATAATACTTTGCCTATTTTCTCAAAACATATATTTTTCCTACTTTCTGTTCACACTGCTCTGAATATATGAGTAAGCATGGTCTAGATGTAGATCTAATAGAGACTAGAAGAATCAACTAACTGGTGAGTATACTGTTGTCTTCCTACATACATATTGACATATACATATACACACCTGTTCCACTTGAGATTACAGAGTGAAGGAAACCACAGAAAGAAACTGGACTAGGCAATAATCAGTGCAGTGAAGGAAAAAAAATGAAAAACTTAGTATCTAAGTGTCAATTTAAATGCACAAATATGTAGCATTCAGAGAGCAAAGAAAGACATCAGGTACTGAATTAAATAAATTTCCCTCCCCCAAAATACAGGTCTGTCCTTTGTAGAAGTTCAGCAACAAAAGTGGTTATCCCTTGAGTCCAACAAATCTGGCACTTCGAGATACAAGTGCAAGTCACTATTCTGAAATTCACATTTGTTTACAAAAATGACAGAAACTATTTGTCTAACAATCAAAACTTATCTGAAGTGTTTATTTTAATTTCTGCATTTTTTGTGGATCAGTCTGAAAAGACTGTCATACTCTGATGTTAAACTATGAATAGGCAAGGAAGAGGAAGTGTGAGAAGTTTGGGGTTTTTTTCCCCTAAAGGAAAACAAGGTAAAACATGTTTTTTCTTTTGCTGTTCTTAATTGCTCTCTCTTGATAAATAGCTTTGCAATAGTTACCTCACTGAGGGTCTCTACTGTTCACTAAAGATAATACAGCTAATTACATTGCAGTTCCTTACCTACTTTTTAATGAATGACATAATTTTGCTTTTTTCTCCCTTTTGAAATTATTTGTGTGTCAAAAAAGAACAGAAAAACTTGATTATCTAAAGTAAAACCACTGATTAGTTTAAGACTGTCTTAAGGGAACTTTAAATGTAGATTTTATACTGAATTTGATTTTGGTTCTAAGTGCATTTAAACAGTCACTGGTTGTATCTTCTTTGCTAGTAACACAAGAATGTTTCTATTTATAGCTTTAAAGTCATATGCTATTTTAACAGGAGCAAACTTGTTTCAGCATTAAGTTAGAACTTCCTGAATATAATTCTTCTACAAGCAAGGAATCAGCAAGAAGGAGGACAGCAAAAA